AGCTAGCACCGAACCAACTCCGACCCTCGTCCAATCAGCCTGCGTGTGGATTCAACATCTCCTGTCCGCCGGCAAGCCAAGGCCGACTGCAAGAAACGTGAGCCGCAACTCCACTCGCCCATGTACCTGGTCTAGTGACCGAGCTCGACTCCACCTTACGCGAGGCACCAAGCCATCTCCGGCTTCTCTACCCTCGTCTGCAGCAACGTCCGACGAGAAAATGCCGCCCGGTTCGCCACCACCTTCATTCTTGAATCATTTTTGAATCATTTTCTTTAGACAAGAAAACCGCCTCCGCCTCCTCATTGAGATCACCACCACTATGGCTCTGCTACCAAACTGTAAGATCTAGGAGGAAGATCTTGAGAGCCCATTTTGAGCTCTTCTTGCACAAGAGAGAGAGTGAGAGAGAGAGAGAGAGAGAGGGGGGAGGAGAGGGAATACACATAATTTGGAGGAAATAAAACTAAGCTTATTCAAAATTTTCCCCAAATCAATATAACATACAAGGCCTCTATTTATAGAGATTATATTGTTGTGGCAATCGCACGAACAATATAACCTAAAACTAAATCAATATATAACAATAAAATTTTCTTATATTTAACTTTTTTTAAAATCTTTTCCTCAAATGCATTCAAAGAAAATTTTACAGAAATTCAACTGAAATTATGCTTCCTTAGGGCATCTCCAACCGAAAATCTCATTTTTCACTTCAAAATGCAGGTAAATCAAAAAATGCCGTGTTTCATCTCCAATCCAACGCCATTTTGTCGCTAAAATCGTTCGTTTTCTTTCGCGCCTTTGTTCCCAATCTGTTCGGCAGAGAGAAAAAAAATTGCGCAGATGAACAGTGCAACGCCAATATTGGCGTCGCACTGTTCATCCGCGATCAAATGGCGTCGAAGATGACGATCGGTTGGAGCAAAGTAAGAACGGCAAACAAGTGTTTGCCAAACAAGTGTTTGCCGTTCGGTTGGAGATGCCCTAAAACAGCTTTTAAATACATAATTTTTTAATTCAATAAATTTTTCTACTAAAAAGCTGTTTAAGAAAGTAGCAACAATGTTGTCCCAAATGAAGCCTTAAGCCATTGATTTAGACTTTATTTGAGACAGCTTTCTTATTATTTTATAAAGCAACATTCTTGCACAAAATTTACGAGATCAAAAAATATTTATACTTAAAAATTGTTTTAAAAAATAATTAAAAAAAAGTACTAAATGAAGCTTGAGTCACCTTGAAATGGATCAAGCTGGCTTGGCTTTCTTTTGATAATTGTTGCATCCTGGAATATTCGCGGCGGTAGAGAAATGATAGGAGCTTGGAGTTTAAGCCTCCTAAGTTCTACGGGGAGGGATTAAATTGCTTGAAGTATGTATTAGTTTATTACTTTTAACCTCTGCAAATATAGATCTGAGATCCATTTTGATGATTCATATTCCCCTTCCAGATTGTGGAGAACAGTTACAAGGTTGGGCGGTTATGATCCGGTATCTATCTTTTTTCATTCGTCAAGGATATATGTTCTACAACTTGTGCCTTTGGTAGTAAGACTTAGTCATTTAGAATCGGAGTCCTTTGTGATTTAAAAACTTGCATAGGAGCTGCTTGGATTAGTAATGTATATCTAGCAAGGATAGATTTTACCTATCATGGCTTTATCTTATTGAAGTGAGTTGATGGACGTTAACTTTTGTTATTTATGAATTGAGTTGATGGATATTTACTTTTGTTATTTATTGAATTGTGGCACTATCACAAACTGATGGTGAAAAATTTTCACTTATCTTGTTTATTTAGTTTCCAATGGAACCTCAGGTTGAGTTAGGACTAGTTTTGATAAAAGTTAAATGGTGGATTTTTATTTGAAGGTAAGCATTGATTTGATCTAGTTGTTAACTACATTACATTGGATATTTTCTTTGATTAGTGCATTTTTTATGAACTCTAGAGAATAAGAATACCTAATACATGCGTCAATAACTTACCTACCAGTTTTTAAATACCAAGGATAAAATTCGGAAGTAGTTTATACGTAGGAATGAAATTGACATAGGAGAGAGAAATAAGAAAATATTGAAAGGGCTATGTAGTTTATAAAAAATAGAGTAATTATCGAAGAATGGGAAGGGGTATTATGGATAGAAGACCGGGGAGATATATAGAAGAGGGAGGGAATATAAATAGAGGAAAGTACCAAAAAATGGGAAAGGTTGGATGGTTAGAATGCCGATATGTGGTGATGAAAGTGATGTGTTTTTCCAACTCAAGGTTAGTGTTAGGCATCCTCAATATTCTCATAGTGATATGATGTGAACGTATTTTAGATCATATGGAAGGGATGAGGCTATTTATAAATCTAGTGCTAAATCATAAGGCTTCCTTCTGGTGCAAGTTCCTCGAGGTAATTAGTGATATAGAATCTTGTCTACAATTCAAGGCAGCCTTGACAAGCTTCTCCTATAGTGAAATGATACATACTCATGCCTTAAAAATCTTCTCTATTTCAATCCAAGTAGAATGGAGGCAACCACTTGTTGTGATGTATTTTATGCAACTCTAAAAGGATTAGAAACCACTTGTTTATTGATAAATTTAGTAGATGGTTGTTAGTATTATTTAGAAGTCATATATTTGTATCACAAGTTTATATGCAAGTCATATAATTCGTTCGTGATAACCTTCCATAGTGTTGAAGACTAAGGGGTTGCAGAGTGTGCTTGATGTGTAAAGTTGTATATGGAGTCACACGAATACTATACAGTCATACGAGAGTTCGAGAGAAGATGTGTTAGAGAGAGTGATCAAATAAGACATAAATGTGCGAGGCATGAGGCATTGAGTTTGATATAAGAATTGGGTGTAGATAGTTTCTAAAGTTGACAATTGCAATCAATCATTCAAATTAGAGATTTAAGTTTTGTTATAATAAGCCTTTCTACTTTAGATTCTCTAATTATATTATCAAAAGTTTTTTTTTAAGGTTAGCCTTTGCACAAAAGTATTTTTCAAAAGATGGCCGATTGAAATTTTGAGTTTTCTCCTAAGTTGGGACAGAATTCTTAATAATATTCCTTTTATTTATAAAAGCAGCTTAAGGTGTATGAATGATAGTACGCAAAGCTTTTTATAGTCAATTTGTAATGATTTTATAAAAAGTGCTACATAAGGATATAGGTTAAAGTGCTTTTGCCTTTATTTTGATGATTCTATGTTTGACCATATTGGATATGCTACTTGTGTTGAAAAAAATGATGAACAACTCTCCAAAATTTGCGGTTGAACCAAGTCCAAAATTTTAAGAAAGAAAGTTGAGTTAGATTCATCAAGACTATGTGATTTGTGCCCACAAATACTTTGTAAAGATCCCATACTTCATTGTCTATGGTGAAATTGATGAGGGAAGAAGAAGCCATAGAAATAGGAGCCAAGGAGCTAAGAGGAATGTCCAAAGCATAACTTGAAACACCCACCACCTAAAGGTTGGGAAATGACTCAAACCTAAGCATTTTAGAGCAAAAAAAAAAAATGAAAATAAATTTTATGACTCAAACATAATCATTTTAGAGCAAAACATTGAAAATAAATTTTTTTGCAAGAAATTTCAGGTAAAGGAGCTCCTATCACTCAATTTCTTTTCTTACCGACCAAGAGATTTCAAAAAAGCAATATGGTGAAGAAGAGCTGGAACCAATTTGATAATCATCACAATGAGGATGAAAATATTAAGCATATTTCATTGTAAATACTAAATAGGAGGATTGGTAGAAGATGTCGACATTGGAAGAAAAGTTGTTGAAGGAGATTAAGCTTTCCTTTGATGAGCGACTACCATACTCATATAGTAATTAATGCAAATTATTTTGCAAGAAATTTCAAGGAAAAAATCAAATAGTTTACTATTTTTAAGGAATTGCTAACTTAAATGAATATAAAAAATTGTAAAGTAAAGATTCCTCAAATAGTGTATTTGAATTAAATTATATATATGTAGACTCCTTTTTTTTATATAAATACAAGATTCTGGTGTTCGGTGGATTTATAGGATTTGGCCAAAGAATTGCGCCGAAGAGATAAAAAATGGAGATTATATTCATGTAAAGGAGCTCCTATCACTCAATTTCTTTTCTTACCAATTGAGAGATTTGAAAAAAGCAATACAGTGAAGAAGAGCTGGAACTAATTTGATAATCATCACAATGAGGGTGAAAATATTAAGCATATTTCATCGTAATTAGTACGATTGGTAGAAGATGTCGACGACAGAAGAAAACTTGAAGGAGATGAAGCTTCCCTTTGATGAGCGACTATCAAACTCTTATAGTGGTTAATGCGAACTATGAATTATATGTTAGAGATTCTCAATTATTCATGTTGTGATTAGCAAATGCAAGTCAACATAATTATTTTAGAATCATTACAATGTTGATTTTTTGTTAATTGCTATGCACTCTATTTTTTAAAATTGTACTTTTTTATAGAAGGAAAATTTTCAATCAGTTAATTAGGATAATTTGATTTATGATAATAAAAAATTACAATCAAAATCAATAATTAATATTAACATTAATCAATCAAGATTCTTGATATCATAATATTAACTAAAAATTAAATTATCCTTGATAATTAATCAAAAACATTAACTAAAAATATTATTAATTATGATTTAATGATCACATATAAATTAATCTATTTAATCTATATATTAATATATTAATTAATAATAAATTATAAGATTATTTAAACTAAATATGATTAAAGATAACAAAATTATCTATTTTAATTTTATTCTAAGTAATTATTATTAAAATATATTTTAACTAATAGATTTAAAGCCTAAATTAAGTAGCCAAATAATCTATCAAGATAAATTGCGAAGCAATCTGGTCATTAAAATAAAATTCAGTAAATGTGGTTAGGACAAATTCAACTAAAGGGGCCCTCAGTGTTTAAGCTGATATATACATATAGCACCAAAAAAATAGTACACACAAAAAGAAAAACCATAAATTTTAATCCATTATTCTCTGATTGTGTGTACAAATCTATAAGCTAAAACCTGAATCTGCAATCTAATAGTTCCTCCGATTAAAAAAAAAATGCACTCTAATCCCCTAATCTTAAAATGAATTAAAAATTTAAACAAAAATAATAACAAATCAAACTCTTCCTTACCATCTTTCAGATCAAACAAGAAGAGAAATATCAAAGAATAAAACCAAAATTCCACTGATCATGGGAACTGGAATCCACCGCCATTGCCGCCGCCGCCTGCCACTGTGCCGGAGGACTTGGGTGGGCTTATGGAAATCCAAAGCAAAGATAATGTGATAGCAATAAGACCCGACCACACAAACACAATAGTAGGCGTCTTCCCCCTTCTCCCCATTAGCCCCTTCGCAAATGGGTACAGATGCGCCAAAACCCAGAAACTAAAAAACGCCCCGCCCATAAGCTTACTCCATTGAGGAATTTCGCTGTAAATAGTTCTCGCGAAAGCAAAGGCGATGGAGATGAGATTTACCATCATAATTGTAATTGGCGGGATCATCAGCGAGGTCCACTTGACGATGTAAAGATCAGCGTATATATCTTCATTGTCCTCCGCTGCCGACTTGGAGGTAAGCTTGAAGGAAATCTCAATCCCAGCCACGACTTTAAGAATCCCCTGCACAACAGCATAGAGGTGCGCGGAAGTTCCAGATATGAGCCAGAACTGCTCATTACGCCACCACTCCTCAAGCCCTACGCCGGACCATCGGACTTCCAGGATGGCAAGGCCGATGAGGGTGAGGGTGATAGTAAGAAGGTAGATGAGGAATGCGACGTTAAGGGTTTGGACGATAAATTGGCCGGAGAACAGGGATAGGGCGGGGAGAAAGCAGTAGACGAGGAGAAAGGCAGAGGTGAAAGGGTAGATGCCGACGTTTAGGTATGCGATGCGCTGGAGGAACTTGAGGCGGCGGGTAGCGATTAGGGCGTTGTTGCGTGAGAAAAAGATCTCGACGGAGCCGGTGGCCCATCGCAGTACTTGGTGGAGGCGGTCGGTGAGGTTGATGGGAGCAGATCCGCGAAATGCGTCGCGTTTGGTGACGCAGTAGACGGAGTGCCAGCCGCGGTTGTGCATACGATAACCGGTGACCACGTCTTCTGTCACCGAGCCGTAGATCCAGCCCACGCGGTCTCCCCACTCGGTCTTGTCTTCATACCTGCCAAACAAAGGCAAATAGTTAAGGGATGATCTTCGGCTCAGATAATTGGATTGTAATAAAATTGCAGAATATTCTGATGCCAATGCAATTTTTTATAAATATCAGCATAACAAAACAACTACTAAATTAATTCATTGAGACAATTCATCGATACTAATCGTACTTACCAGCAAGATATGACGGAGATTGCTTCTGCGACCGTAGCAGAATCGAGTGGCACACGGGGAACAACAAGGGCGCCGGGAGGCCTTCCATACTTGATAGCCGGATGATCGGCAAGAGGTCGTCCCTGAAACTCCGAAACAGGAATAGATTCCGCGAGCACGGCAGAATTTCCAAATCTCTTAGAAAGAAGATTGGGATCGAGCTCATCATCAAAATCCGTTGCGGTGAGTGGCCTCTTCTGCATCTCGACATCATCCAGATCCAAAGGGGACTGAATCTCCCGCCGAGAGTAATCAGTAATCGAAGGTGGATCAAAGCCATAAAGTGCGAAGCGGCGAAAGAGGCATCCTGTCCCAACATAAACGGGACCTTGGATGCCATCCAAGGCTCGCATGTTGCCGTCGAAGAAGACGGTGTTGTGATTGGCGTAGCGGTCGGAGGGATCGATGTTCTCGAAGCGTTGGGGGAATTGAATGTAGCAAATATCTTCGCCGCCACGATCCATCATGAAGCACATGCCTTCACGAACAGCAAGGGAGTTGTAGATGTAATGATCGCAGTCAAGGTTGAGGATGAAGGGGGCGTTGGACATGACGGCGGAGGCGCGGACGAGAGCATTCATGGCGCCGGCTTTCTTGTTGTGATCGTAGCCTGGTCGTTTCTCGCGTGAGACGTACACGAGCATGGGGAGGCGGATGTCGGTATCGCTGTGGTCGAGCATCTGGTTTCCTTCTTCGGCGAGGCCAAAAAGGGGATCGTTTGATGGAGGCTTGAGCATCACCTGCGTGTTCAGATACGAATTATATCAGAATTTCTCTAAAAATTTAGGAATGTTGTAGAATCAAAATTTTGTTGTTTGAAGAACAGATTCAATCAATGGATTAGAAATGGAAGAAGAAATTTATCGATTGATAAATCTAGCCATAGCATTGTTGGTAGGGATTCATTTTTAAAAATGCATAAATCTTGATATAAAAAAGGAAAATAACTCCAATTCTTTGTTAGTCATAATCAACCTTAGCATTATTTTTTGGAAAGTGATTAATGGAAGAAATAATTAATAATTAAAGTGTACCTGAAGAATGCCGGCGTGATCAGTTCTAGTATGATCGGGAGCGGCTGTAGTCCAAGTCCCAGGCCAATGCGTTCCATCAGCCATCCATGTGGCCTTCGGAAGCTTCATGGGCTCCACCGAGTCACCCCTGGCCTCCCTTAGATGCTTCATCATCTTCATCTCCTCCCTTGCATTAAACGCATCCGATCGTCGGCGAATAGAATCCGGCAACCCGTTAATCCGTACCTTAAACTCATCATACTCTCTCTTCACCTTCCTCCTATCCTTAACGAAATCCGTCCGCCACTTGTTCTTCGTGGGGTCCCCCTTAATGTTGAAGTAGCTATCCGGATTTCTCGGCTCGATGTCGTGTTTGCGGCAGAATGGTACCCATATGTTCGCGAAGCTCGCCGCCTCCGCCATAGCCTCGAAGGTGAGGAGAGCGCCTCCGTCGTCGGAGATGTAGCATGCGATCTTTTCGATCGGGTAGTCCACGGCGAGGATGGAGAGGATGGTGTTGGCGGTGACGAGCGGTGGCTCTTTGTCGGGATCGGCGGTTGAGACAAAAAAGTCGGTGGCAGGGAGGTCGGAGCGACCGGTGGGATTAGCCGGCGATGGCGTCTCGAACTTTTCTTTTAGTACCTGGAAGTGTGAACAGAGGTCGACCGAATAATTCGAGTTAGATTAGAAGCCATAGATTGACAAAATTTGATTTTAATCATTGCTCATGCGCTGATTTTACAAAAGCTTTGGAATGTTTTAACTTTTTAAGCACATTCACCCATTTTTATATCTTCATTTTAGAATATTCCGATTTTTTTTTCTTTTTATATTATTTAGGAGAAGATCCCTTAAAAGTATTACCTTTAGATCCGTGATGCGATTAATCGGATGCAATTTGGGAACCTGATCCAAAATCCATGAGAAAGCAAACCAAACCTCGCATACCACCGACATGCCCCACAGCCAAAGTGCCTCCTCATTTGGATGCTGTATCCTCCACCCCAAGAAGAAAAACAAAGCCACGAATCTCACCAGCATCAACAACCTATACGGCTGAATAATCCCCGTCGGCATCGGAACAACCCTCGTCAACGGCTTCCATGGCTTCTCCGACATCTCCGGCATCCCATCGCCCATTTCCTTTTCATCATCATCATCCTCCCCATCCTCATCATACCCTCCGCCGCCATTGCCACCGCCTTTTGGCCAGAATGCATTTCCGTACCCGTATGTCCCCTGCGTCTCAAAAAGCCATCTGTTATGGTCAAAGTCAGAGGCCCCTGCTTGGCCGCGTGCTAGCAATGATTTGGTTGGCTCTAAGAGGCTGTGGTGGCCGGGCTTTGACGTTGGAGATGGTAATGCCGGTGCGGCAGGGGCCGTGGAAGAAGCGGGGAAGTCGACAGGGGCTTCTTCGTCATTGTCACCGGTGGCGGAGTAGGGTTCTTTGCAGCCAGGGCAATTCCCGGTGTCCTTTCGAGCGTCGAGGTAGCAATCGCGGCAAATTTTGAAGTGGCAATCGCATGGGTCAATATCGTTGCCGCGTTCGTCCGTAATGAGCTTGCCGTCGCATGTGGGCATGGCGCATGGGGAGGATCCTTTGGAGCCAGCCATTTGAGGGTGGGTAACCACAGAGTCGATCACCTTGATATCAAAAATGTTTAAATTTTACATGTTAACAATAATCAAATTAAGAGAAAAATAATAATAATAAAGAGTGCCAAAATTATTGCAATTAATATAAAACTTTATCAGACTGAATTCATCGAAGTACAAATTCATCTCCTTTATACCTTGTCCATGAGGTGGGCCCTTGTCTCGCTATTAAATCCACCGGTGAAAAGCGAGTTAGACACGTATTGCTCCTCTGCTTTCACGGCGACGGACTGCGCCTCCACGGGCTCATCCATGGGCTGGTTATCGGGAGTTGGCGGAATGTGAACACTGTAGTTCATGTAATCGCCGGAGAGGTCGCCGGAAAGTTCGATATCGTCACGAGAGAGGCTAATGTAGCGGCCGCTGGATGTACGGCGTGCGAATTTGACCGTCTGGCCGGAGGCGGCGCCGACATCTTTTCGTCCACTTTGGGATCCAGATCCTAGGCCGCTGGGATTGCGGATGGCCTTCTTTGTTGGGTTGGAAGCCGATGTCGCCATTTCTTTGTGATTATTGAGTGGAGGCCGGTTTTGTCTTAATTTGTGCTTACAAGAGATGAACAGAGGAATCTGATGGGTTGGAGAGCTTTTGTTGTGTGAGGAGGAGGAGAGGGTTTTGTCTTAATTTGTTGTTACAAGAGATGAACAGAGGAATCTAATGGGTTGGAGAGCTTTTGTTCTGTGAGAAGGGGGAGAGGGAAATGGATTTTATATATGTGAATGGGATTAATTGATAGGTCCGATATGGAGAAGAATTTGTGGAAGAGAGGGAGAGAGCCGTTGGAGCCGTTGGAGCTTATGAGATTTAAAAGCTGTCAATGGTTTGGGTGCAAGAGAACCGTCCATTCAGGTTATTACTATACATATATTGTCAATAGCGTATAACTAACTAAATTTATCACCTTCTTTTAAGTGTTACAGTCAAATTATAATTATCTATTTATTCATATATTTACAACATTTAAGTATTTAAGTTTTATCAGATGATATTTTCATTGTTATTCTCTTGAAGAATTTTTTTGGAAATTTTTTTTTTTTACTGTTTTGAAATAATAATTTTATTTGATTATTTTCTTTTTCAATATTTTAAAAAACTTTTTTATAAAAAAACTTATTTGTTATAATTAAAACCATTAGTAGAGCAAATGTCACTCACACCGGCCTCAATAATAAGCCGATGATCTGGGCTTGACTTTGCCAACGGTATATATATGGGCCTCAAATTATAAATCTATATTATTATTATAAAACGGGTTTTAGTTTCTTTCTACATTAAATAATGATCATCTATTTTAATTAATTTTAATTATTTAGATTAAATCTCAACTTTTCATTTTAATAATTATAATTAATTAAGAATTATAAATTTATTTATAAAATTAATGTATTAACAGAGGCGGATTTAATATGGGGCCCTTCAGGCACGGGCCTCACTGGCCAGTTAATTAATGTCTAATTAAGACTAATTACTATTTAAAAAAAAAACAGCTTGTGGTAATCCTTCGTTACGCCCACCTCTGCTTCTCCTTAAACGGAAGAGAGGTCAAACCTCATATTTTAAATATTATGCTATTTTTAAATTTTTATCAAAAAATAATCATTCTGTTTTCTCGGTTGTGTACTTATTCCCAAAAAAAATTGAATGGCTACAACTGTAGCCATTTGATTTTTTTCTAATCTTCAATTTTTAAATTACATGTTAAATTTTTTATCTATAAAAAATTATTACACATGTTTAATAATATTAAAAGAAATTAAGGAGTTGTTGGGGACGGGTTGGAATGGATGTGCAATAACATTAGAAGACATATTTTTTGTTTAATACAATATAGTGAATCATTAGTTCAAAAAAGTTTTAGATAGTTTTCATATGCGATCTAATATTGATATCTAAGATAAAAAGTTAAACTTAAGATTTTTTTAAAGGTTTACTAATATTAAAAGAAATTAAATAATTATTCTTTATTTAATTTGTAACTAAATGTGCTTGTTAACATAACTTTTTCATTATTTTTAAATTTAGATTAAATAATTTCTATTTTTTGTTAATATTTGTATATTGTTTTGTCAAAATATCACAATATATTTGCTTCAATAAATTAGAGTTGTATAAATTCCTAATAAGATTTAAAAGTTTTAAGACAAGTAAATTAAGATTAGTAGCAGAGTTAGGATATTTTTCAATACAAGTTAAGACTTTATGTTATTTTTTTTTTCACTTTTTATGTTTTTCTATATAAGCTATGTTGAATTCATCTATATTTTAATATTTTATTTATTTCTCTTGATTGCAGGATGGTAAGTTCACTTTTTACCCTTTTTAGATGAAAAATTATTACGTGTGGACGCCAAACACGTCCGGATGTCAATCAAGAGCCGCCACATCACCTAGGGGTGTCAATATTGGACCCAACCCGAAAACCCGACCCGAATCCATCCCAAAAATTTCAGGTTTGGGTTGACCCAAACCCGAAGCGAGTCGGGTTCGAGTCCAGAAAACCGACCTGTTTGCAAAACTGGTTCGGGTTCAGGTTGACCTGAAAATCAAGGAATGACCCGAAATGACCTGGAAAAAGTTACCTTCGCAGTGAAGCAGCGAGCGAGCGACCGTCGTCGAAGGAGCAAAGTCGAACTGTAACAAAGGAGCCGAAGAAGCTACTCATGCAATCTCCACACCTCATGCGAAAGTCGGAATGAAGTCGAACAACAATGAGAAAGATACCTTCACAACGAGCGAGCTCCCGTTGTCAAAGCGTTGAAGGAGCGAAGTTGAACTCAACGAAGGAGCTGAAGAAGTGACTCATGCAATCTCCACACCTCATGTCATCCTATGAAAATCGAAATGAAGTCGAACAACGACGACAAAATGGAGAAAGTTACCATCGTCAAAGGAGTGAAGTCGAACTGCAACGAATGAGCCAAAGAAGCGACTCATGCAATCTCCACACCTCCTTCCGTATTGCGGAAGTTGGAACGAAGCCGAACAACAATGACAAAACGGAGAAAGTTACCTTCACAGCTAGCGAGCTCTCATCGTCGAAGGAGCGAAGTCGAACTGCAACGAAGGAGCCGAAGAAGCGACTCACGTAATCACCACAACTTCTGCAGTCCTGCGGAAGTCGGAATGTAGCCGAACAGCGACGATGAAACAGAGAAAGTTACCTTCACAACGAGCAAGCTCCCGTCGTCGAAGGAGCAAAGTCGAACTTTAACGAAGGAGCTGAAGAAGCGACTCGTGCAATCTCCACAAAATATGCGGGTCGGGTTCGGTCCGAGAAACCGGCCCATTTGCAAAAATGGGTCGGGTTCGAGTCGGGTCAAATAGTTCTGGGTTGAACCTGAACCCGACCTGTGACCCGATTTTGACAGCCCTAACATCACCCAATGCACAATGTATTGTCTTGCGGAAGTTGGAACGAAGCCGAACAACAACAACAAAACGGAGAAAGTTACCTTCACCGCTAGTGAGCTCTCATCGTCGAAGGAGCGAAGTCGAACTGCAATCTTTTTATCCTTTCTTTCTCTTTGATGCCACTATTTTTTTTTTTTAAATTCACATATTGATAGCAAGCCTTTCTATATGACATTTTCTTTATTAATATATTTATATTTTTTATGTTACATTATGAAGATAGTTAATTGTATATGACCAATTTCACTTATCCATTTCAAATTTTATTTCAGCACTTCTTTGACTTGATGACTCGATGATTTCTCTTGGTGGAGAAAAATTTTCAAACACCAACATACAAAAATTCTCTTCCAAATCCCATCAAAATTATCATGTTAATTTAATAAATATTATTTATAATTAATAATCAAATATATATATATAATTGGGGATTTATAATATAATTTATAATCATGATTAGTCTTAAAATTTGCACCACCTCTCCATAGCCGCCTAAGATCTTGCTAAATCCACCTGCTTCAAACAACATTCTAATATAAAAATTAAAATTTTTGTGCTAAAAAGATAATTTTTGTTTGGGACGATTTTTTTGTTGCTTCTTAAAACATTTTTTAGCACAAAATTTAAAAATTTTGTACTAGAAAATTGCTTTAAAAATATTAAGAAAGTTGTCCAAAATGAAGCCTTAATCAATGGATTAAATCTAACAATGTTAATTAATATGTATTAGGTATTAGGTTGCTATAAAATAATAAGTGGATTATTAGGTTTTATAGGAATCTATAATTACATGGGATCAGATAAAGGCAGTAAGAAAATATAAGAAGACCAGCTTTAGCTCACTCTTAATGCAATTTATAAGAGTCGTGGGCATCTTCTAAGTGCCCAAATCTCTTTTCCTTGCATATGGGGGAACTTTAAACAAGTTATCATTGCAGAGTTCTCAATTTATTTGCACCTTTTTTTTTGTATTTTTCATGCCTAATTTTAGATTTTATTTGAAACATTTTTTAATATTGTTTAATAAAGCAGTTTTTAAATACCAAAATTTTTAATTAAAAAAAAAATTGTACTAAAAAGATGCTTTAAAATGTAATAAAAAAACTATCCCAAATAAAACCTTAGAGTTTGAAGAATTAAATGTAGGAAATTATTTTAATTATTTTTGTTGCATCTTGGAATATACACGGCAATAGAGAAATATAAAGTTTAATGTCTTAGTTTTGTACGAAGATCCAGCACACAATCAAATAAAAGAGAGCGTGTAATGTTCATAAGAGACATTAGAGTTTTTACTTAGAAACCCCTAAAAAAAGGTGGAAAACCATGATGTCTTGTTCAGTTTTAATGAATTAACTATTGTTTGAAATCGATTACATATTAGGTCCTTCCTTGTGGGAAAGCATTGACTTGATGTAACAAATATGCATCATATAGAATGAATTACATTGTGGGAATTATAAGAATCAATATTGACATGTTTGTTTGGTCGGTGAGACCATGCTCGGTAGGCGATGGAGGTCGGAAAGATCTTAGTTGAGTGATAGTGGTCAAAAGGACCGTCGTTCGTGGGCAATGGAGGTCGGAAAAATCGTAGTCGGGTGACGGTGGTCAAAAGGACTGTAGTCGGCAGGCTACGGAGATCAGAACTACCGTAGTCGATAGGCATCAAAGGTCGGAAAGATCGTAGTATGACGACAAAGGTCAGGAGGACCGTTGCTTGACGATAGAGGTAGGAAGGACCTTTATCTGGTGATAGAGGTCGGAATGATCGTAGTTGGCGGGCGACCGTCATTAGAAAGACCATTGTTTGGTGACAGAGATCGGAATGATCGTAATCAGAGAGTGATATTAGTCGAAAAGATTGTTGTCTGGCGACAGAGGTCGAAAGGACCGTAGTCTGGTGAACGAGGTTGGAAGGACCATAAGGCGATAGTGATCATAAAGATCATTATCTTGCGACAGAGGTCGAAAGGACCGTAATCGGTGGGCGACAATGGTCAGAAAGACCGTTATCTGGCTATGGAGGTCAGAAGGACTGTAGTCGGGTGGTCAGATTTGGCTCGTCAACCTATTCGATTCAACTATAAGCTTGTCATGTTTGAAAACTGTTTGACCATACAATTTATAGTTTGAACCTTTAAAATGTGGTTCGGGTATTCAATTTGGACCCATTTGGGCTCGGAGTGGGTGGAATTTGGTTTTGTTGAGTTTGTGTTTTCGAGACATTCAATTTGACTAGAAGTTTGCTGA